ATCATAGCTGGCAATCTCATCTCCGGCTCCCGAATACCTCTGTTCTTCTTTGTGGCCCTCATCGAAATCCAGTCAGACAAAGGCCCGTTGGTAGCCAAGCCTATGGCCGCCCCAACGATAATGGCAAAGTTGAAGAACCCGATGGTCTGGCTGTTGAAGTTGTAGGGAGGAGCGGCAAAGGCCTGACTCTGGGTGAGGTTCAAGGTCAACATGCAGCTGGCGGACCACGAGACGGTGAACGCAGCAAGTTCGACTATGGGGAACGCGAGCAGTTTCCACGGAATCCAGAAACAGGTCCACAAGGTCTTCAGATAGTTGTCTGACGGCTGCCAGAGCATGAACTGCTGTTTGGAGGGATAGCCCTTTCCCAGCCAGGGGTCTTGGTCTGCTCCGCTCTCAGATGCGACGTTTTCCTGCTGTAGGATGACCTCCGCCGGCTTCTCCGGCTCAGAGGCCGACGAGGGCGTCTTCACCTGTTCCTGACCATTCTGTACCTCGGAGGGGTGGGCGCGGTGCCATTTTGTTTCGGGGAACAGGAAGACGAGGGCTACGAGGACGATGCCGAGGACGCCGGTGTTGAGCCAGAAGAAGCTGCGCCAGCCGACGTGTTCTGCCATGGGACCGGCGATGACTGGGCCGACCTATTGAGAAGTCAGTGAGTTGGAGACCATGAGAGCATCATGCTTACCATGAGAGAACCAAAATAGGCGGTGAAGTATAGGGTGTTGTATGCTCCTCGCTCGTGAAGGAACATGATGTCGGTAATGATCTCAGGTTGGGCTGACTATCATCCTGATTAACACGAAGCCTTGTGTCGTTGCGAGTGTTCCTACCTCGGCAGGCCCAGCTCCGAAACCGTTCAGGATGCATGCTCCCATGTAACTTCCATAGGAAGTAGCGAGCGCTCGCCATACGTTACTGACCAGACAGATAAGGGTGGAAAAGATGAGGACCGGCCGTCGACCGAAAGCTGCCTGGACGGGAACCCTTCAACTCGTCAGCCACATGTCACTTTCGAGAGTCTCGAGGACGCACCAGAAGAAATTACTGAAACCAAGAACGAGAATGCAAATGCCGGTAAATTTGACCACGGACGCCAGATCGGTATCGAACGATTCCATCAGTTGCGGAAACATCGGCGCGAGTGCCAATGGTCCCAGGCCCTGGCTGAACGACACTGCCGTCGACATGCAGATGGCACTCATCTTCCAGAACCGGTTCCAATTCTGCGGACGTCAGCGTTCGTCTCACAAATTCATGCGGATGGGCCATATACCAAAGGATCATGAGGGCTTTGGGAGGGCTGTGGCACCAGCACTCGGTCGGAGGATTTGACAAAGTGGACGGAGCCCACATCAGCCATGATCTCCGTTCCGGGATAGATCTTGGTATTGAGCTGTTGCTCGATCTGATGGATCGTCTGTATGCTTCATATCAGCTCTGCTTGCCATTCGCGAGCCAGTGCGGTTAGTTACAGTCTCATCATGATTCATCTCCATCTTGGCCAATTTCACTCTTCATTAGCAGTAATGCGTAGTCGAGTGCTAGACCAGTAGTCTGGCACTGTAGGGTCTGATCTTCCTTATAACTTCGACGAGAGACAAGTCTCCCATAGTGCGGAATTCCCCCGGCAGTCGAGACTACCGAAAGGCGATGTTTATACTTTACGAGACCTCGGTCTACCCTATGTATCGACGTGGCGTTTCAGTCTTTTTAAGTTTACGACTGTTGAAATCCACAAACAGGACTGTCACACTGTCACTGACAGGCTAAAAGCGGGGAATGAATGATGCCCAGAGAAAAAACGCAGGGGAGCTACTCCACAAATCCACAGCAACCCCGGATTTCCCCATCGGGAACTCCACTTCCCCAGCTCATCCACCAGGACGATGGACCACTGCCTCCTGCGCCTGACTAGTGCCAGCATTGGCTATGACATCTTCGATCTACCCCAAACGGCGGACCACGGATTCTGCCCGCTCTCGTGCATCCTGGCAAATCGACAACCGAGCTCGAACCGGAGTCAGCAGCCTAGAGCCCTAACCCAGACGCAAGCACGGCCGGTTCCTTCCCAAACGAGTTCAACTGTCCGTTGTGCCACTTTGGGAAGATCAGCTACGCTACTGGCTAGTTCGTTCATGACACTGGTTCATCAACCGAGCTGCATTTCCGATGTCCTTGAAAACAGCCTTGGGGGAGGTTTAAGGTTTGGGGTGTATTCCTATCGGCAGATGGAACTGCCGATGGAGCTGCTAGCTTAGGTAGCCTAGCTTGAGGAGACGGAAATTTTCCTGGCGTTTCATTCTGAATGGTCTAGAGCTGTTAAAGCATGGTAATTCGAGGTAGTTGAGGATGGCATGGCCACCACAGAGCCTAGTCTATCCCTGGTAAGAAAGCTAGAGTGGATGTTATCCTGTAGTATATTCAACTCTTTGGTCTGGTTTCCGACAAGGATGTCATTGTTATCTGCGAATAGCTATTCCCCAATCATGCCAGCCTTACCTGAGCGAAACGATTCTCACATCTAACGGCATGAGCCTATTCCCTATACCAATGACAGGCCGGCCGTTACGGTAGCGATCACCAGATAACCAGCAGTATACTCATTTATCCAATTAAGATGGGGCAAAAAAGCCGAAGAGACCACAAGTAAACCGGCACAGTCCTGCAACCCAACCCAAGTCTCCATATGCAACCGTACCGAACAATGCCATCAGAGATCAACTGACTTGACTCACTCCTTCAGCGCATCATGCCCCCAGTTCTTCAACGACCTGTAACTCCTACTCCCGGTATCCCGCTTCGCATGCTCCTCCTGCGCCAGATGCCGCTTACAGTACGAGACCACCCTCCGCATATGCTCTAGATCCTCGTCCGAGTACCCGGACGGGTCCTTGGAGGGGTTATGTTCGAGGATATCCACGATTCTGCGGCCGCTTTTTCGGTCATCAAGGTCAGTTTTCTTCAGGCACTGTCCGAATAGGTAAAATACAGGAGGACGACGGATAGATTACCTCTCGTGACCGACCGTCTCGCCGGACGCGGACGCGCCCGTCCAGCCTGAGGACTGGGATTGTTCTTCCGCGAGCCAGGCGCGGAGTTCGGTGGGGGTCATGTTGACCAGGTCGTTGAATTCTCTTGGAGCAGTGGTTAGATGGGATTGGTGGAGAGGGAGGGGGACGTACTCGATGACGGTGGTTTTGTCTTTTACCATTTTGGCTATATTTTGTTTTAATTGCTGATAGTGAAAGTAACTGCTGAATTGACCAGTCTTGTCATATATATGTCTTGCGTAAAGAAGTGGTACTCGTGGAGAGCTGCTTGATTGACGTCATGGATTCCTGGCAATCGAGATGATCGATTGTTTGGCATATCTGATCGATCGGTATACACAAGTCTCCATGACCTAAGATGATCAAGATTATTGAACGCATCGGCTTTGGCGATACTTGTTGGTCTTGAGTCATCCTGGCTTTTTACATACAAGAGCAATTCAATTCGTGTCAGAGACTGAGGGAACACCATATATACTTGCAGTTCTCTAGTTTAGCTCATTCAATAATATTTTCAAACAATTGCGAAAAGAGAATGTTCCAACTCGCTCCTCAAGTCCGCCCAGGATCAACTGCACCAGGTACCTAAAATCGATCAAAGTAGCTCCTATACCGCAAGGAGTAGAGTCATAGAATTTCCGCATTCTGTCAGAGAATGGACATATTAGGGACCACGTGACTGAATAAAACTGGCATGTCACCCCTTGGGAGCCTTGATGTTCTGCTCCTGGCCTTTGTTGTCATAAGAAGTCGCTAGGAACTCCAGCTCGGTGATACGCCCCGCACATATGCGACTTTCAAACTCAGCTTCCGTAGAAGTCATGGAATCGTGCAGTTGGAGTGTGGGATGGAGCAGATGACACTGGTGCAGTGCTGGGCGGGTCAATGGACATCTCAGTGTCTTCTTCCGTGGCCGGCTTCACACGAGGATAGTAGTAAGGTAATTCATCTCCCTCGTCTCCATCGTAGTCTAGATCGAGAACCCATCCATCTTCGAACTCTGGCTTCAAAGAACATGTTTTATTAGCCATTTTTGAAGGAGGACAGACTTGTTGTGCTTGCCCAATGACATATTGAAGTGGCGGACACTGTTTGATTGCGAGCAGACGGCGACCACTGGTGCCTGCGGCTAGGTCGTGCTGTGACATGAGACCAGCTGGCCAGGTCGCTTCATATTCATTGCAGCCAAATTCATCATCGTCGTCGTCGTGGCCATCGTTAACGGCCGGGCCTTGGTCAGGGACACTTCCAAACACAGGTTCCTCAGGTTTTGGAGTCGGACCCGACTAGACTGAATTCCCGGGAAAGACTTCGGTGTTCGTGTTGCAGACCACGACTCCGCTCCTCGCCAGGTATACCCGGTACATTTTGTCGGGATTGCAACCTCACACATTGAATGCCAACCATTTGGGTTCGACAATACTGTTCGAAAGCTCGGATCTGACGATCAACAACCTTGTAACCTCTCCAAGTCTCGTCGAATAACACAAAGAGGTGGCAAGCGCTCGAAATGCTGATATTCAAGGGGTCCGCGCAGGACCTCTCCGTTTAACAAGGATTTCTTCGAGGGGGCAATGATATGGATATCACGGGCGAGCCCAACATGCGGCGGGGACAATCCTTCGCATGCCTCTGGATGATCTCGGCCTCCGCTCTCCAACTCTTTCCGATGGCCGTAGTCATCGTGTCCGTCTCATCATCGGCCCGGCGGTAGTAATCATCCAGCAGTGGGGCAAAGGAAAGGTGGCAGAGGAGACGCATGACGCGCCAGTCAAGGTGCCCCTAGCTGTCACCGCCAAGGGCACCCGCGTTATCTGAGGCATATATTCGGTTCTTTAATCATGCTGGAGCCCCAGCTAACCTTGCAGACGTTGCCTTGCAATCCGGCACAGGGCAGGGCGCAACTGAAGGCAAAACGACAACCATGAGCTTCTTCCGACTACAGGAATGCTCCCCAAGCCCCCCGCAGCCCCGGAACTGACCGTCCAAGGCCAAACTATCACTGTAACCTGGTCTCAGGAGCGCGAGGAAGCCGAGGAGAGAGCCATTCCAATGAAAGGCTTCAACGTCAAATACTGCCGTCGACTCAACCTCCCTTAAGGACGGTGCTTTCGCTTGGGCAAGCGAGAATGAGCACACCTCCGACGTCAACTGCCCTGCTTCCGAAACAAAGGCAGTACTGGAATTGCTGTTGAATGACTGTGACTATAAAGTAGCACTTAGTGTGCAAACAATTATAGGAGCGTCGCTATGGAGCACCCGTGTCACGGGCCACACGGCGTGTCCATTGAACGCATCCGCGGTGACCTGGAGTTCGGTTACCACTGGCGCCTGACCGAACGCAGCACGGGCAATCTGTGTAGCCTGGGCCACTACACACTGGTAGCTCATGCCAGTGTGGTGAAAAGCCTCCACCCAGAATGGATTGTGGTTGAGGTTTGGATCAGTGGTTATGTTATGAAAAGCAACTTCAATAAGTCAGTACGGTGGACAACGGCAGGCTCGATTCGTCCTATTCATCTTCAATGGCCTCGGCGGGGAGATCCTTAAAGTGCGGGACCCTTATCCGTAACGTCCCTATCCACATTGACGTGGTCGCGCCGCTCACCAGCCAGAGATCTTTGTCTCAGATGAGACGGGGATAAGATTCAGAATACCCAACTTCAAATGGGGCTTGATACAATAGTGAGGATCTTCAAAGGAGAGAGTGTACGAGCGATTGATGGAGGTAAACGCCCGGTCAGCTGCGCTGGGGCGCTGTCGGTCAAATAAGCCTGTCCTGCTTCGCATATCACTGTCCATAGCGAGCAGATAAATGGAGGTAAAGATTCCTATTTTTTGCTGACGCTGCCTTCAGTTGCCGGCGATTTCTTGTCGGGTGAAGATGCGTTGTTCAAATTCCATGAACCGAATGCAGTTGTCTGGGGTCCTCGCGACAGGGCCGAGGGCCAGTTGGGATGACGCTTACGGTCGATGTTCTAGGGTGGCGGTGGGACAAGGTAGTCAGCGCCGCCTGGGCGGCTTTTATCAAAGTTAGCTATATTTTAAGTGTGCTTGCTTGATAGATAGTGGCTTACTGAAGGCAAGTAATATCCTGGTGTATCAACACCAGGTCAGCAACACTCTTAGGGGGGACTCTGTATGCACCAGGGTTGCTGGCGATATCCGCTAAAGGCGCGATAATATCACTCCAGCTCAAGGTGTACGCCTGTTTAAAATCACCACGGCCGTTCAGCCACGAAAGCAACTGTTTAGCATGGCTTCAGTGACCCGAGCGAGTCCACATTCCGCGGTGATCATCCACCGTGAACCCAAGGTCTGACATCTCGCCGGTGCCGAGATGACCCCGACCATAGATGACAAGCTTCGACTCCTTGCCCTGCATGGAATGCGTGGTGGCCACTTTGGAGATATCCTCTGCCTTGGGTATACCCAGCTGCTCGAATTTGAAACCCGACCAGCGAAGGTCCGGAGGCCATCAAGATCCAATGTCCAACGATATTAATAGACCACTGTTGACGGCGTCATGCAGTTCTGGTGAGCAAGATCCAGAAGTCCTGGGAAGCTGGTGACGATCGGGAGCTGTGTGAGCTTCCGGGGACCTGCTGCGTTCTACCTCAGCCTCCGCCTCCACCCTAGAGGTCAGCGAGATCTGCGAGTTGATCGTCGCGGATGACCAGGAGTTTTTCGAGATCTTCGAAGTCAACGATCGAAACGGGCCAGGAAAGGACGTTACCATCCAGAGGATTCTGGAGCACCCTGCCCTCATCCAGAGCTTGCTATAAGGCGGCTCGGACCCTATCCAGTTCACTGGATCTGCGGAATCCAATTGTCTGATATCATTAAGGTATCGCTCTGGGATTGGGCATGACACATCAATCCTTTCATCCGGAGACAGGTCGATAATCGTGTGACGCAACCATCTGGGATCAACGGTTCGGCTTAGTAACAAGAATTCCCTCGGTATGAGAAGATTACCTACCCATATAGCCAAGCAACTGATGTGTTTCCCCCAGCCCGGCCCCGTCCCCTTTGCCATATCCGGGTAAAAGAATCCTATGTCCGCAGGGCGCCAGCTGCCTCCGTTTGGCTTGTCTTGGCTGTCTGTCTCGTGAGAATGCCTATGGCTACCGGTCGTTTGACGGCGACGTCGATGGTAATCGTCGTCACTAGAACTGCTGCTTGAGTCGTAGTCGTCGTCCCGATTTCGCCTGGACCTGGAATGACGAGGATTCCGATGTCTAGGCCTGTTCTCTGTCTCTTCTGGGCGAAGCCCATTGGGATTTTCATCAGCAGGTTTATCAGCTCCCTGAATTTCGCCTCACAGACCACCAAATTCGTACTGATATCGCTCGGATTACCATACCAGAACGAGTAGTCTGCGTCGCCGGTGATCACGAGATCCTCGTCTTCTCGGGATAGAGTGACTTTAAGTCGTGTCTCCATTGTAAGATAGATGCTCTTCATTATCGGACGCAAGGTTCTGTAGCTCTTTCCGAACTTCTCTCATTGCGGCCGAAAGGATCTGGTCTATGATTGACCGTGCCATAGCTTTAGGATCCGTTCGGCATGACTTTGCCTTTCCTTGAGGTGTTCCATATTCCAAAGGATTGATCCATGTTGGGCCTCGGAGTAGACTCTGGGTTCAAACCCCCGAAGCCTATGGTCGACCTCACTCTGATGTTGATCGCGAGTTGGATGATTCCTGTTTATGACGAGGAGGATGCAACAAACTTGAGCAGTGCGTTCGAGGATAGTCAAACCAGAGGCGCAGGAGCAGGAGGAATAGGGGCCGGTGCAGGCGCGGCAGGGATCGCAAGAGGTTCCTCTGCTAGAGGTGACCTATACGACGTTGGGCATGCATTCATCAATTGAAAAATTTATTATTGGGGCCAGCTCAATGTATGTACTCACAGTATTATGCATGTAGTTTGTGAAAAAAATGCTAAGATTTTTGAAGGCAGACATTGTGAATGTGAATTGTCACACGAGCTATCAAGGGAACTTGGAGGTGGGTACTGGGGATAAGAGAGAAAGGAAAAACAGGATTGCTAGAAGCAGGTTAGAGTGTTGATGTTGATTGTAGAAGGAGAGTAGACATAGTATTCGACTCACAGAAAACAGTTCTTATGACCTTGATGTGCTGGGCTCCCATACAGAAGGAACAAGCCAGGCATGGGAGTTCCGTTTGGCAATTGCGACTTGCTCGGACCGTATCCGCATGCTGGTATGTTCGTCGAGGAAGATTTTAACTTCACTTGGAGTGTGTACCCACTGCCCAGGGTCCGAGTGCGCTTGATTGACTGGGTCTTTGGCCATTCCAATAGCCTTGTTGCGTACCGGACTCATCCCAGCCAACTGCCGGTTGTGCGAAGTCCATTACCGTAACTGCTCGGCGCTCGGTGCGAGGAGCGATTCTCTGAGTTCCACCGCCCTTGGTCCTTCTGAGTCTGATCCATCATATCTGTTCTTGGGGGAGAATCATATTCGAAGATGGCCCCCTCCTGTCGACGGATAGTGTAGGGTACAGGTTGCTCATTGTCCGAGTTGGCGAAATGCCGCCTTGGTTTCAGAGATGTAGAATACCGGGAGAAGTTATACAGAACAGAGGCCTGGGTCGTTCATCTGGGGTAGGTACTGGGCTTCGCATATCTTGGATATGGGACAGTCGTCAAGGGGCACGACCCGGAGCGCCCTCATATGATCTCTGTTCCAGGCTGATCTCCGGACATGGAGCTTAGGTGCTCGCTCATAGAAGTCGGTGCGTTCGTCTGGCAGGTTGAGGCTCAGTTGAACCTGTTTATTCTGCCTACTCGGTTGGTAAGCCATGGTGATGCGAGTAAGCGAAAATCGATCGAATCAACCAACGAAGGTGGTAACAATTTTCCGACGAAAGTTGGCCGGGGAATTCAACCGCAGATGCCGCGGAGAATGATCAACAAATGATACCGCTGGCTTCACCAGTCGGCAGGGGCTGAGAGATTCGGGCTGGCTTATGTAGGCGTCGAGCAACCATGAAACAGACATCATCTGCCACTGCTGCCAGGCTTAGGCAGGTGCCAGATATCCTCCATCTTTGATGTTGTCAAACAACTCGTTGAACCCGCCAGGGCAGTAACCATAGTTGCAAGTCCCTGCTGGGGTCATCATATGTTGTAAGAAAGCTGCGTCAAAGATAATAGTGTGCAGTCGCATACGGGGTTGTGATCTGTTAGGACATAGGCTGAATCGAAGAAATGACTGTGGCTTTTTGCGGTGGTTTTTGATCTTGCCACAGAGACGAACCGAGCTGGCGTTCATAGCAATGTCTTTTCTTGCCAGTTTTGTTGGTCTTCTGCGATCTTGGTGCGAATAGACGCGGCCCGATGCTGAACTCAAGATATGGCAGTGACCATAGACATGGCCCGGTGTGAGCCAGGAATCGGTCTTATTGAGTGGTCTATAAATGTCGGTGGAGAACCTCAAAATGTACCGACCATGATCCGTCAACGTACCTTGCGTCTTCTTGTTTCCAGTGTGCCATCGTGAGGCAGAGGTGTTAAACTGTCCTTCCGCTGGAGGTATTTGCTCACCACGAATGGCGCCTGATACAATATTCGAAGCAGTTCGGGGCTGCATGTTCAGTCGCTGCGTCAGAGCTACTGGATCACAAAGTCAGTACAGTCATGATAGCTTACTGTCGACAACTCACTTCCGGCCAAGGAATAAGACCCCCAATCAACAGACATTGACCGGGATCTTCTGTAGCACGAGACAAGTGCAATATGATGAGTCGAAAACTGTTTAATCTAGGAGATGAATTATGTGAAAAATCTGCTCTTCATGCAGAGATGGAAAGTTGGAAGAGTTGGAAAAGGGCGAAAGGAGAGGAATGAGCTGGTATATATACAGCAAGAGTGAATAAGCTATTGCCCATTTTGCTTGAAGCAGTGAATGCAGATGAGAATGGTTCTTTGATGTAAAGTGAATATCAATAAAGAAGTTACCATCCCAGGTAATGAATAGAGCCCTAAGCAAACAAGCTGCCAAAAAACCAACAGTCAGCTTATACGAGCACCAATCAGCCACCATCTGCAGCCGCATCGGGCAGTCCGAAACCCAGGTAACACGAGGCTGGGATCTAACAGCTCATTTCAGCCCAACCGTTTATGGTTACACAGTCATCAATGCTGACACCTCTTGCAGCTACACTCACCAACCCGCTTACGCCTAATCGTACCATTTCTCCGACAAAGCCGTATAAATACCCCTATTCAACCAGTCAAACAGATCCTGTGGCACATTTCTCAGCCAGCCCAGTCAAAATGGAAACTCTCAAGGAAAGCCTCAAGGAGACCCTCTACAACCTCCCGAAGCCACCGGCTCGCACCCGCACCAAGCCCATGCAGGTGATCTGCGTGGGTCTCCCGCGGTCCGCCACAGAGAGCCTGGCCGTCGCGCTGCGGAAGCTTGGTCTAACCCCATACCACGGGTGGGACATCTCCTTCGAAGAGAACGCGGGGTACATCGAGGGATGGGCGAAACTGGCGCGGGCGAAATGGAACGGGAAGGAGGACGGCGAGTTCCGCGTGTCGCGTGGGGAGTTTGACGCGCTGCTGGGACACTGCGATGCGGTGGTGGACACGGCGGCGTCGTTCTTCGCGGCGGAACTGGTGGAGGCGTATCCCGAGGCGTTGGTGATCTTGAACACGAGGAAGGATATGGATGCGTGGCATCGCAGTGCGATCAAGACTCTGCTGGAGGAGATTGCGGACCGCTGGTTCCTGTGGATGATGCGGGTGTTTTGTGCGGATCTGTTCTGGCTGTGGGAGCTGTATGTCACGCATGGCTATCCGGGGCTGTTTCGCGGGAAGTCGGCGCGCACGGCCATCGCGAAGAACGGGAGGTGGGTGTATCGCGAGTATTGTGCCATGATCCGGGGGCTGGTGGCTCCCCAGCGATTGCTGGAATGGAGTGTTGAGGATGGATGGGAGCCATTGTGCGAGGTAAGTTCATTTGCTCATTGTACACTGACGACGCTGATGGTTGTAGTTTCTACAAAAAGATGTGCCTATGGAAGCATTCCCCAAAACCAATGATCCGACTAAATTCGCGGGTAATGTTGAACGAGTGCTCAAGCCACGGTACATGAGGGCATTCCGCAACCTGGTGCTGACGGTCAGTTCGACGGCGGTCTTGACCACGGCGATTGTGATGGGAGTGCGCGGGGGAGGACTGAGTCTGAGCTCGATTCGAGACTCTGGTCTGTTTGGTCTATAGGATATGTCTGACTCTTAGCGCTTAAGTAGACCTAAGACCCACTGTCTACGGACTAGTGAGTGGAGATGTGATCCCATTTGAGCACATTATCTTCTTCTTTGCTTGGCATTGTCATTTCGTCACATCTCGTGGTTTATACGGAGTACATCAACATCTTATACATATCTATCTACATGATGACACTGAGGCTATACGTGAAACAATTCTACCATTCTACCAGAATTTATCCACCCCATGAAGCATCCAAAGAGACAGATTGCTGAGCTGACTGACGACTCCAGCAGCAAAAGTGGAAATCTCCACCAGCGGAAAACTTGGCAACGCCTTTGAGCAGATTTCCTTCTTGGCAGCCCACTCTCTTGTCGCATCTAGATTTGCTGTCTGTGTCGGTCGAGTATAAGATCTCTCATGGCTTCCATCTGTCTGTCATGTCGTTTGCCTCGCAGCAGCAGCAGCAGGCAAGATGCTCTCCTCACGCGCCCATCATATGGACATCCCCGATTCCGGCCCCGGTGTCGAGCATCACTGGGGCTACTATAACCGCCAACTCCCATGCACCACCGACAAGGGCAAATGCGACTATCTCGACACGGTGTATCATTCGCACGATCTGTCCATTCTCTACAGTGCCATTCTCTGGGGTGTAATTCTCGGGGTTTTGGTGGTCTGCGCGTTGAGACGGCTCATCCGCATCCGTCGCACATCGCATCCTTGCCCTCAAGATGCAGAGACGGAAAAGAGTCAGCCTCAGAGCTTCTCCTATCGCTTCCAACAATCCCTCAAATCAGTCTACCACCGTCATCTTCTTCGAGGATGGCTCCCCGGCATATTCGGCCACACAACCGGCTTCAACATCCTCGTCCTGCTCATCCTAACCTCCTACCTCACCATCTTCTCCTTTGTCGGCATCGTCTACAAAACCTGGTACAGCCCCGTCAAAGGCTATCCCAACCTGCATCAGACCCGCGTGGGACTCGGGCCCTGGGCCGACCGGCTCGGCGTGCTGGCCTACGCCCTCACCCCGCTGGCCGTCCTCCTGTCCACGCGCGAGTCCCTCCTCTCGCTGCTGACAGGCATCCCGCACCACCACTTCCTCTTCCTCCACCGCTGGCTCGGATACATTATTTACATTCAGTCCGTCCTGCACACCATCGGCTGGACCGTTATCGAGGGCAAGCTCTACCAGCCCCAGCCCTCCACGTGGAACGAGTTCATCGCACAAGAGTACATGATCTGGGGCGTCGTCGCCATGATTTTGCTTTCGTTTTTGGTTTTCTGCTCCGCGAAATGGTGCATCCGATTGACGGGGTACGAATTCTTCCGCAAATCGCACTACGTCGTGGCCATGGTCTACGTCGGCGCCTGCTGGGGCCACTGGGCCATGCTGTCCTGCTGGATGATCGCCTCCTTGACAGTCTGGCTGTTAGACCGGGGTGTGCGTCTCCTGCGGACTGTCTTGCTACATACCACCGCCTCTGGCAACCTGCGCATGCACATCCCCTCAGCGCAAATAACCTCCTTCCCCAACGACACAGACAGCGACGTCATCAGACTAGATTTTACCCTCCCGCACCACCCCTGGTCCATCGGGCAGCACTTCTACCTCTGCTTCCCAGACCTAACTATCTGGCAATCCCACCCCATGACGCCCTGCAGCGTCCCTACGCCCGGCCGCGAGCAAACACACACATACATCATCCGCGCAAAGGCCGGCCTCACGCGCCAACTCGCTCTACTGGCCCGAAGCAACCAGTCCTCAACATCCATTGTGCTGGCCGGACCATACGGCCAGTCCATCCTAAGCACTGAACTCCTGCAAGAGGACATCAACATCCTCTGCATCGCAGGCGGCACAGGCGTGACTTTCGTCCTGCCCGTCCTCCTTCAACTATCCCGCCAGACAGGCTTCGCGTGCCGAAGTGCACTGATCGAATTCATCTGGGTCATCCGCCGCAAGGCAGATATGGAGTGGCTCAAGTCCGAGATGGACGCGCTGGTAGCTGCCGCGGAGGTGTGCGCCAATTTCCGGATTAGGGTGTTTGTCACGCGTGAGGGCGACGCGGACGCCGACGCCCAGTCCCAGGTGCAAGACTTCAAGAAAGTGCTAGTAAAGGATGCCATCCAGCGGACTGAGTCTACTACCTCCCGAGACGGGGAGGCGCAATTTACTGTGCAATACATGGGCTCCAACTCCGGTGACGTCGGCTTTGCCGGGGTGGATCGACATCCTGATGTTGCCTCGCATGTTACTGATTTCGTGGCGAGGACGGTACACGGCCCGACGCGCGTGCTTGCTAGTGGTCCGACGGGACTGATAACCGATCTGCGGAGGGCGATTGCGGCTTGTAATGATCCTGGCCGGGTATGGAGGGGTGAGGAGGGGTACGATGTGCAGCTGGTGCATGATGACCGGCTGGAGTGGTAGACTGAGGAAGACAATGACCACGCGGGTCGTGGTCTGGTCTGGTCTGGTCTTATGATTTGAATACGAACGCAATGTTATATACCCATTTAATGCATGGTTACTGCACTGCTACATCTACATCCCGTAGCCGCTCATACTCGGAGGTAAATCCTCCACGCGCGTGCCCCATGCACTCTCAGCCGCCCCCAGCTCAAGTTCCAGAACGCCCCCTTCCACAAAAAAATCATGCGAGATCCAGTTCTTCGTCCATGGCTTGCCGTCGCGTTTCGCACTTTGGATGTATATCGCCTTGTAGCTGGGGTCGAAATTGGTGTTTCGCACGGTTGCCACCTTGCCCGTCACCTGGTTGCGGATGCTGACCTCCTTGAAGAATGGCGGAGTGATCAGGTAGACGTCCTGTCCGTGTACCGGAAAGAGACCCACCATGCTCAGCACGGCGAATGCGCCCATGGCGCCGCCGTCGTCGTTCCCCGGGATTCCTGGGATGGTTGCGTTGAACTGGGATGGGATGTAGAAGTGTGCTCGCGAGGCGGAGAGGCCTGGTCGGCCGGAATAGTGGAATTGGAAAACCGGCAAGAAAGCTTGTTCGTCGCCCACGTAGAGAATCCCCGAATCATGCAGGTACGACAGCCGCGACGTGAATGTCTCTGGACCGCCGAGACGGGTGATGAGAGAGGCCATATCTTGCGGCACGTAGCTGAGGGCAGCGGTCAGCGGTCAGCTTTGCTTTTTGCTTCACAAACGAAGGACGGAAACTCACAATGTGTAGAGCCAGCAGCTCCCCTCGTAGGTCTCGTGTCCAGCGGGATTGAGGTAGCACGACGTAAAGTTGTACAGCG